TCTGGCACCGATGTCGCTTATTTGGAACATTATGAGCGTACTGCTGGACCCCGACCCCCTTCCCCGCTGCTGGCGGACGTGCCCGTTTACCTCAGCTGCGCTCCTCACCTGCCTGCCCAGAGATATCGCTCCAGACGCCGGGGAAAATATGCTGGGCGGCTGGTAAAGCTTAAAGCCCTGCGCGCTGCATCTTCCTCTCCAACTGGTGGTCATGGTTTCCATCGCCAGCTTCCCACATGCCCGGACAAGGTAAACAACGGGAGTTGTTGGCTGGTGCGGCGCATGGGCCGACCTGGAGGGGCCGTTATTGAAAATCTGCGGCCACTGGAACGCACTCCCTCCACCGCTGCTGGATCCACTTTGGACAGTATCCGGATGTGTTTGGTCAATGCAAGATCTGTTACCAACAAAACTTTTATCCTCAGGGATTACTTTCAAGAGCACGATTTGGACTTTCTCTGCATCACAGAAACTTGGATTTCTCCGGGTGAGTCCAGCGCCTTGACGGAATTATTGCCACCGAACTGTCTGTATTTTAACTCATCGCGGCCATCAGGCCGGCGCGGTGGTGGATTATTAACTATATTCAATCAACTTTTGACTGTAAACAACTAACTGCCCATCCCAGTTTCCCGCCCCAGCTTTGAGCTGAGCGTCTTTGAACTCAGCCATTCGCCTTCGACTTTATGTGCACTCGTCTACCGCCCACCTCTATCTAAGGATTTCATAAATGAGTTTTCTGATTTCTTGGCTGAAATCACACCAAAATATGAGCATGTTTTCATTATTGGGGACTTTAATTTGCATGTGTGCTGTCAGGAGAAGCCCTTGGTTAAGGACTTTTTAGATTTATTGGACTCATTTAATCTAACGCAGCATGTAAACGGTCCCACCCAAGAGCACGGACATACACTGGACCTCGTTTTAACTCGTGATGTGACTGTTAGTAATCTTGAAATTGGTGATAATGTTTTTTCAGACCACATGCCAGTCTGGTTTGAGTTCACCCTCCCCCATCTAATTCCTAAGCCGTGCGTTCCTGCACGTAGTAGCCTGGCCATTAACCATTTCACTGCACGTTTCACAGATGCTTATAACTCTGAAATGATAATTCAGCCCCCGGTGTTTCTCACCACCACTGAGGAGCTGACATCCCAGTTCAACTCTGTCTGCTTAAAGACTCTGAATCATGTCGTTCCTGTTAAAACTAAAAAAAATCAAAACTCAGTGCAGAACCTTGGCTGAATGAAATCACCAAGGCCGTTAGGCAGCAATGTAGGAGGGCGGAGCGAAAGTGGAGGAAAGACAGGCTGCAGGTCTCTTTTCAAATACTTAAAAGAGAGTTGGCACCGTTATCAGAAAACAGTAAAAGCTGCTAAATCCAAATACTTCTCTGATATCATTACCTCAAACTCTCACAACCCACGTGCCCTCTTTTCTACCCTAAACTCTGTTCTCCACCTCACTGAACCATCACCTCTGGAAGCCTCGACTGAGCTGTGCGACAACTTCCTACATTTCTTTCTGGAAAAAATTGTGACCACCCGGGCTCTCATTTCCCCTCAAACTCATGACCCATCCATCCCACCTCAATCTGTAACTATATTTGACCATTTTGAACCCATCACTCTATCTTCTCTAGAGCAGGTCATGTGCAGCTTCAAACCTTCTGGTTCCCCCTTTGATGTGGTCCCCCCTCGACTACTAAAGGAGGTTTTTCCTACTCTAGGTCTGTCCATTCTTGCTATTGTAAATAGCAGTTTATCCACTGGAGTGGTGCCAAAAACCTTTAAACATGCTGCTGTCCAACCTCTCCTGAAACAAACAAACCTTGACTCCTCAGTCGTATCAAACTTCCGGCCTGTCTCCAGACACCCATTTGTTTCTAAAGTACTGGAGAAAATAGTCGAGTCCCAGTTGAAGTGCTTCCTGGAGGATCATGCCATCTTAGAGCTATTCCAATCTGGCATTAAACCTCTCCATAACACTGAAACTGCCCTACCGAAGTTTTTTAATGACATTTTCTTATCCACAGATACTGGCGATTCTGTGCTGCTTGTCCTATTGGACCTTACAGCCGCCTTTGACACCACTGACCATGAGATCCTCATTGCTAGGTTGGAGCAGTGGGTGGGCAACACAGGGTCAGCCCTCAATTGGTTCAGATCCTACCTCGCTGACAGATCCTTTTGTGTCTCCATCAAGGATTTTAGTTCTGCAGTGGCAGAGCTTAAATGGGGGGTTCCGCAGGGGTCCATCCTGGGTCCCCTCCTATTCTCTTTATACCTGCTGCCACTTGGTGCTATTTTCCAGAAACACAACATGCCCTTTCACTTCTATGCCGATGACTGTCAAATCTACTTCCCCCTAAGACTCAATGGTACATGCTCTATTCAACCTCTGCTCGACTGCATGGCTGACATCAGGGACTGGATGGCTTTAAATTTCTTAAGTTGTAATGAAAATAAGTCTGAAGTCATGCTGTTCCCTCACAACGACACGATCACAAACCACTGCATCGACCTTTCTGCTCTAACCCTGTCAGAAAAACAAAGAGTCACTAATCTGGGACTGATAATGGACCCTTCCCTGAAGCTTAACAATCATGTAAACATGATTGTAAAATCATGCTTCTTCCAACTGAGGCGGCTGTCTAAACTGAAGCCCATATTATCCAAAAATAACCTGGAGACAGTAATACACGCATTCATTACATCTAGGCTTGATTACTGCAATTCGCTCCTGTTTGGTATCAGTCAGACCTCCATAGCACGACTACAACTGGTCCAGAATGCAGCAGCCCGATTTTTAACCAGTACAGGCAAAAGAGAGCACATTACTCCAGTTTTGGCCTCACTGCACTGGCTACCGGTTCACCTTCGAATCTAGTTCAAAATACTCCTGTATGTTTACAAATTGCTTAACAGTTCCCCCCCCCACCCCATCTCTCTGATCTGCTACAACCGTATGCCCCACCATGTTCCCTGAGGTCAGCGGACCAGTTGCTCCTCACAGTTCCAGGAACTCGTCTTAAGCTCAGAGGTGACAGGGCCTTCTCTGCAGCAGGCCCAAGACTTTGGAATGAGTTGCCTCTGCTTGTCAGACAGGCCCCTTCCCTCTTGGTTTTCAAGTCCCGTTTAAAAACCCACTACTATTCGGTAGCTTTCAACAACAGATGATCTGTGTTTTGAACCTGTATGCTCCACACTGGTTAGTCGTGTAGGGACACATCAAGGTTTTTCTATCATTAACTTTTATTCTTTTGATACTTTGAATTTAAGAATGACTCTCCATTTCCAAAGCTGGACCATATGTGAATCACATGTTATCATATAAGATGAATAACAAAAACCTGTTATTGTAATTAAGTGCACACCTGGTATTAGGATTTCAGCAAAGCTGAAAGGCCCTTTTGTATGAGAACTTTTCCATCTGTCCTGTGAAATATAACATCAAAAACGTACGCTTATCTCTTCCGAAAATGGAGAATTCATCCTCCAGTCTTAGAGTGTGAGAAAGACCCCATTGTTTTCAAGGACTCTTCTATCCATCTCACGGTAGAAATCATTTCTTTAACAAGTTAAATTTCTGCGTTCTCCTGAACACAATTTAATGTTTTGCTGTAAAAATGGCTAAGTTCACTTACTTTCTAAGCTCAATACTCGGTAATCAGAATCCGAATAAACTTTATTGGCATTGCACCGAGATACAACGCGAATAATCGAGTAATCATGCATAAAGGAAGTTGATATAAAACTGGTGTTCAGAAGTTAAAACTGTGCATAAGTTCTAATGAAAATGTTTATGGATGAGTAAAAAGCTGCTTAGAAGTTTGATTATTCTGTTATATTGAGAATTTGCCAAAGCAGAGTAAATTAGCCATTTAATATTTTTATTAAGGTTATTAAAGTTCAACAGTGACTTGAAAGAAGGTCCACCCTTCTGTCGTGATTGGCTCGACCATCACCTTGTAACACCCTCTAAGTCAAAGAAATTTATTTCTGACATTTTGGCTGAGAGCAGTCTGGAAGAAGCTTTTGAAGAAGTAAGGTCAAACAATTGGATATTTATTGCCAGAAGATCTTTGCCACCAGAAGGAGAAAACGTAGCCCTCTGGTAGCTCATCAACTGACCCCCCTCGGGAGCCAACTTTCGACTCTAGATTTCAGCTGATTTCCAGTGGCGAGGGAAATCCCACCTTCGACACTATAATTCATCTCAAGAGTTCTGGTGACCCTCCGGGCGGTTGAATTGCAGACCACCTTCCAATCGGTAGGAAAAAGCTGCTCAGATTTTCACTACTGGTGTCTCATGTCCCAGATAAGAAGTTGTATAGTAAAAAAATTTCATCATTATTAATTAGAATTAAGTTCTCCTAAATTGACAAATCACATCTAGCCAAAACACTTAATTTAGCTAACTTTATAGATGATAATTTACTCTGCTTTGTAACCTCATAATTCACCATATTAAAGTTAAAAAGATAACTCCATAACCTCTTGTTGTGATCAAAGTAAAGCCATCATTTCATTCTACAGCTGTATTCACAGTTTGATCACTTATATTCACCAAAATTGATAATAAATCTCACAAAAATTGTACTTTGACTCAAAGCGTTATTATATATGACTCTTTTTTTTTAATACGAACAGAATTCACTAGAGCATTAAACTTGAGTCTGATTGAATAAATTAATACTTTCTGGCTTCAGAACCGGAAGCCAGTGGTGCCCCTTCAAAATAAAATTACTCATAAAAATTAAACGATCTGAGGGCAGTTAATCCTACAGTCGTCATTTATTATCTGCATCGTTTTTATGTCTATATTCTGATTTACCTCATTTTGTATATTGCTTTGTGTGTTGCCCGTTTTCCTGTCTGTACAGCACTTTGGTTGGCCTTGTCATGGTTTTAAGTGCTCTTTAAATAAAATGGTATGGTATGGTATATTTTTAACTCCAGGCCCCAGACTGAAGGTCTGAATCAGAAAACAGATCTGACCTTTCATTTTGTCTTCCAGATCGTCAGGGTATTTGCTGTCATCCTCTGAGGGAAGCTCGCTTTCCGTCTCTGTGCAGCTCAAGTCCACAGGAAGCTCCTTCTTAGCCTTCTTGGAGACAGACCCCATTGCTGATGAAGAAGAGGTGGAGGCAGAAGATGAAGAGGAGAAGCTCTGAGATCCTCCTCCACCTCCTCCAAGACTGGATGAACCCAGAGAGCTTTCAGCTGAAAATCAAACTACAGTAAGGCTGGACGTCCTGAGGACACAGAACTGCTCTAACATGACCTGTAAATGTCCTCACCCAGCAGCTCTTCATCCTCCAGACTTCCTCCTCCTCTCTTCAGGTAGTATTTTGAAAAGGCATGACAGCACAGCAGATCGCTAAGACATGATGACGAGAGCTTCTGCTTCAGATAGTGCAGCAGCTTCTTGGCCACATTTCCGGGGACAGACAGACAGATAAGGGACAAGCCGTCCAGCTCCATCTCCTGGACAGAAAGGACAGACTGAGTGAGCTGGACATGCTGGGGTTTGTTACAATCTTCAGAATGAGAGAGCATGTACAATAACAGAACTGTCCATAAATGCTTTCACAGTAACAACCGTCTACAACATTTAGCAAACTGTCTGTGACAGTTTTCAGCATCTATTGATGGAACAGCCTAGAACAATCGGACAACTGTCATCAACAGTCAAACTGTCTGTAACCATTAAGACAGCTGTCTGTAACCATTAAGACAAATG